TGTAAAGATCTCTACTCAGAATCCATGTACAGTTTGCAGGAGCAGGTTCAGAATTTGCAGAATCCCTTCAGAAATTAAGTATTTCCAGACAGTGATGGCCCTCTGAGCACCGGTCCTGGGCAACTGCACAGGTCGCACTCTCAGAGATGAGAGCCAGGCCACCTTTAAGGAAAAATCTCCAAATTGGGAGTGATTCTGCCTCTAGCACAGGCTGCTTACTGAGTCTCCATGAGCTTCACTTTGCTCATCTGTGAAATGGGCTCATTGGCAAAATCATCCTGGACTCCCTTTCCTAGCTGGTGTGACGATCTGTTGAGAACTTTGTCAATGGTAGGGTCTAAGGCACTTGAGAAAGGTACTTACAATTATTTTTAAGGCAGTGAGGGAAGGTGTTTCCTGGGACGCAGGCATTTTCTGGGTCAGGCTTTCCTGAGAATGAAGATGAAGCTGGGAGTGTGGTCCTCGAGTGAACAGCATCTGTGTACCCTGGGAGCTGGTTAAGAAATGCACAATGCCAGGCCCAGACATGCATTTGAATAAGATCTCCATAAGCACACTAACATTTGAGAAGTGATGAACTGTAACAGGCTGGAGCTCCTTTTTTAAAAAATATTTTTTATTGACTTCAAAGAGAGGAAGGGAGAGTGAGAAAGAGATAGAAGCATTAATGATGAGAGAGAATAATTGATCAGCTGCCTCCTGCATGCCCCCACTGGGGATAAGGGCATGTGCCCTGACTGGCAATTGAACCGTGACCTCCTGGTTCATAGGCCAACACTCAACCACTGAGCAACACTGGCTGGTCTGGGGCTCCTTATTAAACCGAGAGTTGCTTCCTGGGGCAGGGGGTTTGGGTCTGGCTCACTTCCAGGACCCCCAGCTCTATGCAAGAAGACAGGAGGAAGCAGTGGGTGCTGGCTGTTGCCTGCATTATTAAAGGGAGGGAGGGAGGGAGGGAGGGAAGAAGGAAGGAAGGAAGGAAGGAAGGAGGGAAGGAAGGAAGGAAGGAAGGAAGGA